CTAGTATTACTACTACGGAATACCTCAATTGTTTTATTTTGTAGATGTAATAGGTTTGTTGCCCAATGTATATGGCAAGTAGTATGCCGAGACACCAGATTGCAGCAGAGAGAGAAGTTTAATTGCCGGGCCACCTAATGAGGAAATGAGAAGAAACCTCAAATCTGTCTTTCTGAGTCGTTTAGGGCTGGGGTTGTTAAGGGTTTTGGAGGTGGCTGAGGTATGGAGATAGATCAGTGATTGTTCCAAGAGCGCAGGATGAAGACGCTGTATTTTCATCCAGATTTGAGTCCTCCTTGGGGGTCTTTAAATTGGTTGGCATCAGCTGTTCTGCAGGAATTCAGAATCTGCTTAAGCAGTTCTTAAACAAAATCCTTATAATTTTAACATCAGAAATCAAAAGTATAGGAACATGGGGCACAAATGGCCGGTATCTAGTGTTGTGTGACTTCTGGTTACAAGGAAGTGGTTCAAAGTGCAGCCTGGCTAATGCTTAATTATAACTATATTTCTGTCCAGAATTCTTGTTAACCCTGTGAGGACAGTTTCAAAAGGCTTTGACAAAAATAGGGACATTTTAGTTTTTATTATGAATTAGTTGGAGAAAAATTCCACCTTTGATGTCTTATATTATTGATTTCTTTGGGTTCCAGAGCTAAAGACTTCCATATGTGAATGTAAACCTGTTAAAGTCTTAGCCCAAATACTTTGCTCCTTTAGCCTGTATAGGGTTCTATCAGCCCCCAGGGCCCAATGGGTGTTAATAGAGGCAGGCATGGAGGAAAGTGGTTCCAGACCTTAATGGTAGGAGCCAGGGGGCACTGATATCCTAGCTGTGGGCCTTAAGTGAGATGAACCCAAGCACCTACTTCACCATCTTGCTTTGATACAACCCGGGAGGTGCAACTCTTACACAGAATCACAGGTCTAAAAATAAATGGAGTGGCAGCTGTTTCTCACTACAAATGTTTGATTCCACATTTGTCTGTTTATTTGTTTCATTGGCTTTTAGGCAGAGAGCATTCTGTAAAATATTAGGAATAGAAAGATGGAGCACTGAAAATGCAAAGGCACAGGATATAAATCAGAACCACTTGTTACTCTTGTTTCCTTATCAGTGATACGGACTCTCAGGCATACTCTCAGAGGCTTGAGAAAGCCCTTCTTAAGGACTTTGAACCTTAATGAACAGATAATCCTCCATCAGCTGGATCCTGGTTACTAAGAAATGGAAACTGGGCCAAAAATGTACACACTGCCCATGTGCAAAATCCTCAACGAAACAGAGAAGCTGGCAACAAAGGATAAGTTACCCTCATGGGCTCATTTTTTCTAAACACTCCTTAGTTTAAGAATCATTCTTGTTATTAATTACTTAAACAGGACTTTCAATTTTATATAAATGTTAGTTAATATTGACTGGACAAGACTTAGAATTTTTTTTCCATTTAATTAAGAAGCTAAAACACCAGGGTAATTATTAAATCAGTGTAAAGATCAGAGGATTTAAGAATTTAATTCATCTAAATAGCTCCCCTTTAAGAGCTCATTCTTGAAGTTATTTTTTACAAACACCTCAGAGATATTTTCCTTTGTAAAACTCCTTTCTTTTCATTTTAATGAAATCTGTTGTTTCGAGTCTTGATGAGAAGACCTCAGAAAGTGAGAATCACTGAGAGGTTGTCTGGCTCCTTATTAATAAAATTTTGGGGGAAGTATTGACACATTTCAATTTTCTTATTAATTTGGGACGAGTCCAAACTATTTGAGTGTGTCAACAAAGAAGAAATGCGATATTAAAAAAAGAAAGGTAAAAAGATAGAAGGTATTTTGTATGCCCAGAAACAGCACTAAGACATTCACATTTACTGACATCAACAGCTTCCAATTCTGACAGTGTCAGAAAGGGAATTTCAATGGCTGCTTTGAAATAACCGACATTTTACACCACAATGAAATCTGTGTTTTAGTATGTCACTAACATCAGATAAGATGAGATAAGACAGCACAGCACAGCTCAACACAGCACAACACAACACACTGCTTCTTTCATTTAAAGCAGGCACTTCAGCCTAAAATGCAGACTTCCGAGTCCATTAACCCACTTGAGATGAGCAGGGAGACTGCATGCTGGGTGAGCAATACCAAGGAAAAGCAACTGTGAGTCAGTTCTCTGAAAAAGAATTGATCTGATCAGTACGCTACCAGCAATGTTTTGGAAATGGCCAGACTACCAATAGAAAAGAAAAATGAACTAAAGAAACTAAAATGTTAATGTGTGTTTACAAATAAATCATGGTTGTTTAGACAAAAAGCTGATAGCTGGGACTGAGGGGCTCGCTGGGACTGAGGGGCTCGCTGGGACCTCTTCACAGACCTTGAGGATGTTGCGGAAAAAAGAGAGAGGTGTTGTTTGGGAGCTGCTCACCTCTGTCCTAATATAGGGCACCGGTTCGTGTTCCAAAGGCAGATGGTGTGGGAGGCCATGAAGGTGCCTGAGTTCTGTGGTCAGACACCTGGTGTTGGATCCTCTACCAACTCTGTGACTGGAAAGTGAGTTAACCTCTATGAGTCTCAGTTTCTTCCTCTTTATTTATTTTTTCCTAGATTATTTTCCCAAAAGATCTCAATAATAATACGTACTTCTAGTAGCAGTGTTAAGAGTACTCCATTCCTTATATCTTTGTTAATCTGATGAATGACTCAAAGCATTTGATTTTCTTTTTAATCTGTTACTAATTGAGCATTTTTTTCGTACTTATTTGTTATTTACACTTCTTTCTCTGTGATTTAAGTATATTCTTTGCTCATTTTTAATTGAGTCATTTGTCTTTTCTTATCAAGTTTTAAGAGATGTTTGAATAACAGGAGTATTCTCTTTTTTTGGTCATCTATGTTACAATATTTTCTTCAAGTTTACTATTTGTTTTTTTGATAGTTTATATTGTTCTATATAGTTTAAATTATTCAGAATGTTTAACATGTTTTACATGCTATCTCATTTTTATTCATTATGTTTTAGTATTTTTTTCATATTGGTAATCCCTTGTCACTATTGTTTCTAATGTAAGCCCCATGACATTGTTTCTGGTTTCTTCCTCTTTAACATGGAGATAATAGTACGTACTTCATCGGTTTGTTATATGCATGAAATTATGTATGTATAAAACACAGTACTATCTGTTGTTTATGATCATTATGATTCTAACATTACAGTGATTATCCTTCTAATAATTTGACAGGAATTATAGCCTCTTTCCAAGTGAATTATGAAGAACAAGCATGGATAATGTGGAAGCTCATTCCAGCTAATAAGGAGTGGATAAATATCACATTCATTTTAGTCTAACCTTTTGACCACAAGCTATTTCTGGACAAATATCATGAGGTATTATCCTAAAGTTGGTTGTAGTTTCCCTTAGGAACACTAATATAATTTAGTTCCACAAATATGAATTAAGCACAATGATCCCCCAAGCATTGTGCCAGGGCCTGGCAAGTTATAAGTATAAGATGCTGCTTCCTGCTGAAGGATTCATAACCAAATGTAAAGGGAGGCCCAGAAACTAGGAACCTTCATACAAGTAAGATTCTGGTGAGTGGGATCAAGTCAGAGTCCAAGGATGGTTCTGAGGTCAGTCTGCCTGGGTTTAAATCCCAGCTCTACCTCTGTTAACATGGGTGTTCTAACATTTCTGCATCTTGTTTTCCTTTGTGAAATTGGGATTAACAAAAAAATCTTCATTTGTGAGGTATTGGGAGGATTAAGTGAGGTGATCTCCATAGTGTTGAGAATCCTGGTTTGTCACATGGTAAACCCTCGCAATGTTAGATCTACCTACCATTTTATTCAGTTGGAGCACAGAGAAAATGCTAATGCATTTTAAGGAGGGGAATAAGGCAACTAGTTAGATTTTTTTTTTTTTATTTTTTAAGTCAGGAATGGTAAGATCTTGATTAGTGGAAGAAGAGGGCAAAAAAGAAAAGAAAGTCAGAGAGGGAGGGAGAAAGGATAGGAAAAAAAATAATCTGTAGAGAGAATTGCTCAGAATGGAGAGTATTCTGCCTATTGAAGGAACAGCAAATAATGTTTAACGAGTAAAGGAGCTCCAACTGGACTCGAGGGGAGGGCAGCAGGGCAGTTTGGGTCAGAGTACAGAGACCTCCTTCAATGTTTGCCCCAAAGCTGCTTTCCTATCCAACGATTCAACCTCAATGAAGGAGACCTTCATGCTGGTTAAAGGAAAGATAATACAACCATAAGCCTATTATTTCAGATGCTAACATAAGCTGAGCACAGTGGCTCACACCTGAAATCCTAGCACTTTGGGAAGCCAAGGCAGGAGGATTACTTGAGCCAGGAGTTCAAGACCAGCCTGGACAATGTAGTGAGACCCATCTCTACATTTTTTTTTTTAATTAGCCAGACATGGTGGTCTGTGCCTATGGTTCCAGCTACTTGGGGGGTTGAGGTGTGAAGATTGCTCAAGACAGGAGGCTGAGGCTGCAACGAGCTGCGATTGCACCACTGCACTCCAGCCTTGGGCAACAGAGTGAGATCCCGTCTGGAAAAAAAAATACTAAAATTCAGTACCAAATCTTGTAACATGGATATAATTCTACCATAAGATGACCTCAAATATTATGATGTACCAAATAGGCAAAACAACAAGAAGTAGAACTGTATGCAGAGGAAGTCACCTCCCTGACACCCAGTGCCGTGAAGATCAAGATCATCACACCCCCGAGAGCGCAAGTGCTCTGTGTGGATCGGAGGCTCCATCCTGGCCTCACTGTCCACCTTCCAGCAGATGTGGATTAGCGAGCAGGAGTACAACAAGTCAGGCTCCTCCATCATCCACCGCAAATGCTTCTAAATGGACGGTGAGCAGTTGCGTAGCATTTGCTGCGTGGGTTAATTCAGAAGTATAAATTTGCCCCTGGCAAATGCATATACTTCATGCTAGCCTTACAAAATAGGAATAAGCCTTTGAAAATAAATTGTCCTTGAAGCTTGTATCTGATATCAGCACTGGATTGTAGAATGTGTTGCTGATTTTGACCTTGTATTCAAGTTAGCTGTTCCTTTTGGTATTTGTACATATCTTTGATTTCAGCTCTTAGTATGTGTGGGTTGGTCACTTCGTGGCTGAGGTAAGAATGTGCATATAGAAGACAAGTCTGTGGCTTGGTGGGTCTGTGTGGCCAGCAGCCTCCAATCTGGGCAGGGTATTAGTGTGTCAGGGCTGAGTGCTCTGGGATTCTCTAGAGGCTGGCAAGGGCTCCTGAACCAGTGGTTTCTGTCCTGCCAGTCTGTCAGGGAAAATCCAAGCCATAGGACCCAGTTTCTTTTCTTAGCTGATGTTTTCCTGCCAGAACACCATGGGCTGTTACTTGCCTTGAGTTGGAAGCAGTTTGCATTTACACCTGTAAGTGTATTGATCCTTTTAATTTATGTAAGGTTTTTTTGTACACAATACTAGATTCTTTTTTTTTTTTTTTTTGAGATGGAGTCTCGCTCTGTCACCCAGGCTGGGGTGCAGTGGTGCAATCTTGGCTCACTGGAACCTCTACCTCCCAGGTTCAAGTGATTCTCCTGCCTCAGCCTCCCAAGTAGCTGGGATTACAGGTGCCCACCGCCACAGCCAGCTAATTTTTGTATTTTTAATAGAGATGAGGTATCACTATCTTGCCCAGGCTGGTCTTGAACTCCTGACCTCGTGATCCACCTGCCTCAGCTTCCCAAAGTCCTAGGATTACAAACGTGAGCCACCGCACCCAGCAATTCTCAATTCTTTAGAGAGATGAGAACAAATTTTTGTTTCCTACTATTGTGTGAGAACATTAGGCCCCAGCAACACATCATTGTGTAAGGAAAAATAAAAGTGCCGCTATACAAAAAAAAGGATGTTTAAAACATGATTATTGATTCGATTTATTTAACTACTATAGGTGGATTCACATTATTTTTGTTTGTGTTAATCTTGGTAGATTGTATTTTTCAAGAAATTGAGCTATTTTATTTAAGTCATCAAACTTGCAGGTATAGAGTTGTTTATAATATTTCTTCATTATTATTTTAATGTCCATAGAATCAGTAGTGGTGGTCCTGTTATTTTTATAATAAATGACATAGAGGAAGAGGATTTTCCATTTTAAATCATAATAAAGTACCAGTCAGTCAATCAACAAATGTTTATTTAGAATCTATAATAGACCAGGTATTGCTTTAGGCATAGCAGTGAACAAAATTAACGTCCCTGTTCTTACTGAGTAAGCCACCTTTATTCTATTGGGAGAGAGAGAGTAAAGAATTTCAATATATTGAATAAATAAAGTTTGACATAATTGAGATCTTCACCATATATCTCATGCTATAATAAATAATCCGTCTACACATCCCAATTCAAACTTAGGACAACTCTGTGAAGTACCTATTGAACAGATAACAAAAGTGAACTCAGAGGAAATGAACGTCAAAGCCACTAATGTGGTAAAGCCAAAAGTTTAACCAAATCTGATTTCAGAGCTCTGACCCAGAGAGCTCTGCTGCCTACATCAGCTATTCAGATGTTAACGTTCTGTGTTATAAATTACAGAATGATACATATCTGAGATAGGCCTCTTCAAATCTTCCTTATAAATTAGAAACTAAAGACTTTTCAAAAAGAAATACTTTCAACTTTTCCAGAAGCTTTAATTTTGCCTAATAAGATGTGAATTGACGGGATCTATTATTTAGAATGAGTAGCGCACTGGGAGTACTCTCAGCAAATCCTTTGAAATTGATAAAAATATGAGCTCTAATCGGACAGAGATCATTCGTTACACCATTCCAAAGTTCTCTGTTATTTTCTGTGACGTTTCCCAAATCATCTAGAGAGTCAAGCTGTTAGAACAGTTTCTTTTATCAGCCATCTCCAAAGGCTCATCAAACTGAAACTTACATATATATATATATTTTAATCTCTGTGGCACTTGCCACAGATGGAACCTTTAGAAGATGATATTGTTGGTGTCTAGCCTTAGGTTAAGATCAACACTTGATGGGTGATTTTAACATTAATAAAAACAGCTAGCTTAATGTTAAGCCTTTGTTTTTTAAAAGACCAAAGAGAAGAGAAATAGAATAACTACACTTGGGAGTGTGATCACCAAGTATACTTTAAATGTGAAAATTCAGTGAAAACTCTACTTTCAAATTTTATTCTTAATATCCATTACTCAGATTTATACTTTGTCATTATGTGCTTATAATTATATCTAATTTCATGTTGGTGTAGATATCTTCACAGACATCTAATACACATATAGTTGTGGGTTTTGGTTTTTTTTTTTTAACTATATGTATGGGTTGGCTGGGTGCGGTGGCTCCCACCTGAAATCCTAGCACTCTGGCAGGCCGGGGTGGGTGGATTGCCTGAGCTCGGGAATTTAAAACCAATCTGGGCAACACAGTAAAAGCCCATCTCTACTAAAATGCAAAAAATTAGCCAGGAGTGGTGGCAGGTGCCTGTAGTCTCAGCTTCTGGGGAGGCTGAGGCAGAAGAATTGCTTGAACCCAGGAGGCGGAGGTTGCAGTGAGCTGAGATCTCGCCACTGCACTCTAGCCTGGGTGACAGAGCAAGACTCTGTCTCCAAAAAAAAGAAAAGAAAAATAGTGTGTGTTTTACTCCAATTTTTTCCCCTTCAGGTTTACAAAAAAATATTGCCTCAGATGACCACTTCTTTGTCGTTCTTTATAAAACAAATAAAGGAACATCAACATTGTTAAAGAACACCCAATGAAAAATATAGCCAACAACTTCCTGAAAACTCTTACTAAACCCAAAAACTAGATTACAGCCTGATTAGCTTGTCTGTGGGCTGGTTCCAGTTTCCAGACTTAATATTATACTGGTGAGAGCAGCAGTATTGGTTTCTAGAGATTGCCCATTTATAAAGCATTATATAACATTGCTGTTACACCGTTCACATGGGTTTGGGAAAACGGGGAAAGCATCATTACTTATCTTCCAAATTCCCATTACAGTTTTTTCTATAGCTTTTCTTTATTTCTTTTGTTTCCTTATAGGTAAAATGGAATGACGGGCCAGGTGTGTTTCTGAGAGTTCCATTGTATCTGAAGATGATACTTGATTCCTGAAAATGGATTGTGTTCTTTGTTGACATCTGGAAAATCACTTTCTTTATTACAGGATGCATGGTTAAGGACACAGTCTGAGGCCAGACAGCCAGGTGCCATCCCAGCTGTGCCACATGTGAGCTGCATAATTTCAAGGAAGTCACTTAAAATATTTTCGTGTCCTAACTTGTAAATGGGCATATGGTATTACTTATATCTGGACCCTTGGAAATATTACATAAATATTAGCTTATTACTAATGATAGCATTTATTCCCAACACATGCGTAGTATTGTGTTTTTATATTCCTGCTCTAGCTGATAGAAAAGTCAGTTGGGTCTGTAATTTTGACTTCCTCTATTAATATTTCTAAAGCCAGTTCATCCAAATGCTTCAGCATGTGTTTTTTTAAAGGAGGTCATGAAAGAACCAATATTTAGAAGATTAGTTTTATATTGCAGTTGATTTCAGAAAATGTTTTGAGTCCTGCAATGTACGTCAATTTTTTAAAACAAAGACACCCAATAAACATCGGGTTTTTTGAAAACCAGGACCATATCTCCAGAACACTTGAGAAGCGTTTTTCCACTCACTCAGGAAAAGACATGCCAAGTTCAATTGTTGTTAGTCAGGTAATTTAAGCTAAAAGAATGTGATTTCTCCCAAAGAAATGTGGTGAAGACAAATAGTCTGTACTCATATAGAAAGTGCCAAGGGATCCATCGTAGATATTGCTTTTCAGGAGCTGAGTGAGGTGAGTTTAGAAAGTATGGATTTGAATTGCCTGGTCAGTCTCATACCCTCTAAGTGGCTGCATAAGCACAAATTAGGAAAGCATCATTGTCCATGAAAGATAGACTCCATTCCAAATGAATGTTTAGCTGTTAGATTCATCCAAAGGAAACTTCCCTCTAGTTCCCTTTGTCTTGGTTTATGCTTTGACATTTCCAAAAGCATCGGTGTTAAAATCTCTCTGCCATACAATTAGCTATGATATCTGCTCTTCTAGTCCCAAGAGTAATTTCTAGACAAAGCATTGCAATGGAGATATGCATGCAATGCAAGGTATAGGAATGCACTTGGATGATTTTCTACCTGTGAAAACTATGTGCTCCATGTGAAACTTCACTTTCTGTTTTGGCATGAGAGATACTGAAATATGGTTGGGTTACAAGTTAAACAGTAAAAGTTTGGCCACTCCCTATTAGTAAAGGATAACACCAGCTTTTCATGGCTCACACCATAGGTGGGAGAATAGAATAACCTCTTCAATGAAGTGTAAGGTTATACAAAGTAAGTCTCAGGCCAGATTTGTTCATTGGATATTTACTGTATGAGGCAGGCGTTGCCCTGGGAGCTGGTGCATGTGAGCAAGATGGAGTCCCTGCCCTGGACGGGTGCAGGAGAAACATTCCGAAGGAATGTAGGAATGTAAAACGCATCCTGGTAGATTTCAGTACATCATTTAAACTCCCTAATAACCCCGAGGAAAAGAAAGGCTAAACAACAAGCCCAACATGACAGGTGACTGTGTTAGACAAGTGATAAGACCGAGTTCAATAATAATGAGCATTAAGTAAAAATCAGAGATAATAAGGGCTACAATTCAGGTACATTACATCTATCTGGGGAAATGAATTCTACGCTGTGCATTAATGAGAAGATGGGACTTTATTTGGTTTCTGTGGGATGCCAACAATGAAAAAGGAGTATGTGCATGAGAGAGGAGAGATTGAGGAGGTGGAGAGAGAAAGAGGCCGCGGGGGAAGGAGAATTGCAGGTGGGCGGTAAAGAACAAAAGATTTCAGAGGTACGAAATGCCTCGTTGCATCCAGAGGATGTTGAGTGGAGTGCTGGGTTGACGTGAGGCAAAAAACCTGGAGATGCATCTTGTGGAGGTTAAGGTCCTTGGAGAAATAAGCCTTCGGAAGGTTTTGCAGAGGGTAGTTTTTGGAGATTA